GAGAGAGAGAGAGAGAGAGAGAGAGAGAGAGAGAGAGAGAGAGAGAGGGAGAGAGAGAGAGAATGAATATGTATGTGTGTTTCTATGTGCAGGTATATTTGCATGTGTACATTTATGAATGCAGAGGCCAAAGGTCGTTTTTGTTACCATTCTTCAGGCACTGTTCACCTTGGTTTTGAAGACAGACGTAGCCAATTAGGCAAGTCTGACTAGAAGCAAGCCCCAGGGCTGTACCTGTCTGTGCCTCCCCAGCTCTGGGATTCTAAGTATAATCCTGCCAGTACACTCAGTTTTTGCACTTAGGTTCTGGGGATTGAATTCAGGTCATCAGGCTTGCCTGGTAAAAATTCACAGACTGAACCATCAATCACTTCTGAAACCTGACTAGACCCTAAGTACAATCCAGAGATGGAAAGAATATAGTTTGTATTGATGAAGATATTGGAAACAAACCAAAAGCAAGTTCATGGCTTTGTAAAGATCAGCTATCCAGCTTTGAACTTAAAATGTTTCTAACTATAAAACATGTTGTTTCAGTCAACAAGAAAATGACCACATAAAATGTACATACACACACTCATTTTCATAAACCAATTTTTAAACCTCCCAATTCTTGCCCTCCATTTCCTATCCTCAGGGTGATCAACAGATTTTATTAGCGTGACTTTTCCCCGGAGTCTAGATGTCACAATAAATGGCCTTCACTGCTCTCCTTTGCTATGCCCATAGCTTTTCCTGGTCATCTGTTCTTCTCTGTCACCCTTTCCAATCAGTGGCTGTCTTATATACCCCACAAAAATGCACACAGCCCCATTCTCTCTGCAACATATGCCCAGTACCTGCTGCATGCCCTGCATGGTTTGCTGTAGAAACTGTAGCTGCTGGTCCTTGGTGAGGTTTTCTTCTGTTCGGAAGAGCTGTTCTTTCTCTTGCTTCAACAGCTCCACCTCATTCCTGTAGGCATCCAGTTGCCACCGGAGACTGTCATTCTCCTCTTTGAGTGCATAGGCCTGAGCAGCCAAGGCTGAATGATAAACACACAGAGTTTGGGGAGTTACCTTCCAGCCAAGATTGAGGGGTCCTTTGGTGGGAAAGGAAGTCTCACCTAATATCGGATTCATATCAACTCAGAAGTTAAACCTGGATAGCCAAGCCTTTGGGCTCTTTAATAGTTGATGTGGGCTACCTTAGGATTGATTTTGTAAGGAGGGCATCTCTCAAATGCTAGATGATTACTGTGAACAAAAGTCCCAGAATCTTTTTAATCTATTCAGTTTGTCCTATCTTATCTTATGAACGTTTCCAGTGGGCATAGGGCTTATCCCCCAGAATTCCTACCTCTTGACCTCTCTCCCCCAAACCTGGACACCTTTACACAAGCTGATCTGCCGTGTTCAGAGGTGACAGTAATCTGAATTCTTGGCAACCATCACATCTGCTGCATGACTGTCCTCTCTCAGGCTGTATGACTGCTCCATTTTTTGGAGTGCTTCTTTCTTTCTTTTAGAGAAGCGGCTGTTTCATGGGTTGAAGCATCCATGCAGCTGAAAGCACTGAAAGCTAATGCATGCAGCAGCCTCCCAGGGGAGGGAGGAACTGAGATGCACAATGCTCCTTCTTGCTCTATTGCCGGGACAAATTGCACAAATTTTGTTCTCTAACTGTGACCAGAATGGAAACCTAGTTCCACCTGCTTCACCAACAGATTAAAATTCTCTTTTATTCCCCACAAGGCTGAGTGGTTACTCTGCTCCTCCCGGAAACCTGAAAGTTTCAATGTGTTGGTGTGGACTTAATTTGAATAATTTCCCATCTCCTTCTCACTGAGAAATCAAGGCGGTTTACTCAGCGTCTTACATGCCTTAAATCTCCAGAAACATCTAAAACTGAGTGATAAGATGTTCTGAGACCAAGATGGAGGAGAGGAAATCTCTTGCCCTGCTTCCATCCTCACCATTTGGGGGCTCTGCAATATAACAGGGCTTGCTTGGCACTCCCACAGGAAAGGTCCCTGGATCAGGGGCTTCTTCATATAAATTAGCCCACTGAGTCACTCCAGCAAGCCTAGATGAGAGTCTACTGATTCCCAATTCAAGAGACGAGAGCCACAGGACACAGAGAAGCAGATCACAAAATGGACTGCAAACCCAGCCTCTAGTCTATCAGTCTAATTCTAACAGATACTGCTATGTCAGTTCATGTGCTATCAGTTCTTAACAAGTGTTCAAAAACAGTGTCTCCCCATCCCCTCCAAGTACTGGCCCATTGTCTCTCTCCCCTTATGGAAAAGCCATTCTTCACTCTTGAAAGGAAGAGAAAAGTAAAGTAACATTTGCAAGGTCATTGCCAGAAATGCCTTTATGGACTTGACTGGTGCTATGCAAAGTAGAGCAAAGCCAAGGTCGTGTCCTTGTTTCACCTGTCTTTTGCCATGACCTAGGGCCAGAGTGAGGTCAGCTGGCCACCTGTAGGCTCTACCGCACATCTGACAACCACACAGCTTTGCTGAGACCTTCTGAGACCCCAGCGAATTCCCTTGCCAAATAGCAGACATCAAACTATGTTAATAATAGTTTCACAGTTACGTGTTTTACAGTCTTCCACTTTGCAAAAATGATTATCTATGTACAGTACACATTGAAATACTAATCAAACAGAACGTGCAATTAACCAGCGAACTCCCAGCATCAAGCCATTAGGGATCAATTAGTCAACAAGCATTTACTGCATACTTCCTTATACCCAAGTCTGTCTGGGGATCTTAGATCACAAAAGAAAACACAGAATATGTCACTTTTTGCAAGTTCTATTGAAATATAATAAAGACTGACACACCTAAAAGGAAACTAATGTATCCAAAGGGGAAAAGGGTAGAAGCATGCTTTGGATCAAGTAGGTACCCAACAAATGTTGGTTGAATAAACAAATAAGCAACTTAGTATCAAGGGTCTGATAAGGGGGCTACACCCTAGAAGGGTTTGAAGTAAGAAAGGAGAACATAAACACTGACAGACTAAGATTATGCTTTGGAAGATGAAAATCCTACACGTGGGAGGTATCTCTCACTCAAGAGCAAGAGACCCGAGTCACAACTAGAGGGAGATGGAAGTGAGAGACACTTGATTTTTTTTTTTTTTTTTTTTTTTTTTTTTTTTTTTACTCCAAGGCAAGTATTTGCCTGGAAGCAGTGAGCAGGAGGTGGAACTTGGGAGAGTGGGAGAGGATGAGAGAGTTCAGACCCAACAGGGTGAGAACTAAGATGGTATTTGCCAGTGATGGAAGGGTATTATGGGATTGGTGATTCAGGAAGATTAGTTTGGCGATGGTTCGAGGAATGAACTAGAGGCAGAAGAGAACGAATAAGGGAAGTCTGCTTTGGTGTATATGGGTGTGCAAAGCCAAGAAGCAGGTGCCTGGATGCTTTCCATGGACTTATGAAATCAGACAGGACCCAGGGCTCACCTAGAAGCAAGAGTTGGTGCTTTCTAACATTGTGCAGCCCAACCTCACATCTTGCTGGGAACATGAGTCATGGGCTCCTGAGAAGTCAGCTCACCCATTCCAAAAGGTGATGTCTGTGAGGCATCACTGGCAAAAGGGATTTTCTAACAGGGCAAACTCACTGAAGATGCAAACGACAGAAAAAGTGTTGGCACCACACAAGTACGTTGCTTCATTTAATGACATTCAAAGATACTTAAGTCATTTCCTTAGGAAGCTCCATTTGGCCCCCTTTCAATTCAGAGTGGCATTTTTATTATCATAACTGATAGCAGGTGTTTGTGAAGAAATCGATTAGTATGCGGGGATGAAAATTACATTTTCCAAATGAATTGCATAGTCTGCAAGATACGTTGAAATCTGCGTAGCGAGCTGCAAGCAGCTATAAAGCATGCGCCAGCAGCATTATTCAATTAAATCATCTGAACATAAATACATACAGTGAAGGTGTCATCCATTATTTTAGAGACTGTCTTCTAAGCCTATGGAATTGTCCAGGTGAGGGTCTTGGCTAAGCCATGACTATTATCCCTTACAAGCAGAGTACAGTGCTGTGCATACCCCTAGAACAGGAGTGTGATATCACTTTGTTTACTAAAAAAGGGAAAGGAGAGGAAACAGCTGTGATTCTCCCAACCCTCAAAAATCAATACCGTAACCAATCCCATTATCGTCTTTATAATTAGGGCACATAACTGATTTTCACTCCTGATTAAATAATTTCAGGATTAACATTCACACACACACACACACACACACACACACACACACAAACCCCACCTAACTTTAGGCCACCTGTTTCCTGTTTGAAAGCGTTATGTGGAGTCATACAGTGTCCCCAGATATATCCCTCTGTGAAGATTGCCTGGAAGATGCTGTATTATATTTTTTGGACTAGAGCTCTGGGAAAAACAAAAACAAAAACAAAAACAAAACAAACCCACATCCCAATAATACCTGTCAGGTTTTGGTGTGTTAGAAACCCAGAAACTTGAAAGATCAGCTCAGTTTTCTCCTTTTTTTGCTTTAATTTTTTTTTCTGGGTCACTGTACTAAATTAAACAGTCTTGATAAATGTGTCACCAAGCTTTTACAGTAAAATTTACCCTTAAGGGACTGTGAAAGAAAGTCACTATTCAAATAAGTGTAAGGGTTAAAATGAATGACTGTCTACCTATGGATAAGACCATCCCTAGAGTGCACTGTGTTCCCATAAATTTGAAATATTTAGGGAGTGCCATCCACGTGGATTACCAGATTTCAGTTATAAAAGGAATCCAACACAATGGCCTGTCTGTAAACTGTAAGGAACACAACTGAACCTACTGTTGGCAATTTTAAGAGTACCATTGAGTCTGGCGATGCCTGTATTATTATGGGTTAGTTCTCCAACCTATTATTTATTGAGAAATCAAGACAAGGAGCCATGCCATATGTAATACAAGAAGAGTTGCTGTGCGCTTTGAGAATCCTGGATACTGGAATTGTCTAAAGTGAAAGAACATTACAAACATTGGGAAGTTCCTGCTAAGCAAAATTCTGTCACATTTGGAAAATTAGCATTGAACTAGCAGAACTTCTGAGGTGACAGTAGTATGTGAAAATTGATCCAGAGATTAAATTGCATTGCTAAGAAAAAAAAAGGTTTTAAAGGTATTCCGTAGCATCTCATTGTATCCTTTACCGGATCCTCTATAAGCTATTATTTTCTATATTAATTATGGTCAAAGTGACCTCCTCCTCCATTGTCTGATTTACTTACTGGGTTTCCATGGGAACAGATAATGGCATGCTTAACTTCTTTAAGTAAATAATCTGGTGAAAGCCTTGAAATCTCTCTCTTACCAGTCTGAGCCAGCCTCAGAAAAATAATTAGCAATATATGAAAAATGTAAGTTATTTTGGGTTATGTCCCAGTAAGCTGACAATGTGTTAATATCTTTTTCATGCTCAGGCAAGATGTAACTAAATAATAAAATGCTTTAACATATTGTTGCTAGCAATATCTGCTCTTCTCCGGGACTGTTCATCTTTGTGTCTTTGGGGAATGCCGTGTTTAACATTTTTCTCTCTGCTTTGCCAATTGCACTTCTGGAACGTTGAGAGGATGTAGCTAAACTGTATTTCTTTCCCACGAACAAAGAAAGTCCTTTCCTAAGGATTTCGCTGGCTGCTGTCCAGGTAGGCAATTGTCCTTATGTACAACGAGGCAAGGTTAGGCAGAAGGCCTGGGCAATAATCCTACAATATCCCAGAGCCTTCAGGGGTTCCCCTCTGTCACAACTTCACCTCTTGATGTCTTAAGAAAGGACTGAAGCTATGATCCAGTGTCCTGGGGATTCTTCCTTAGGTCTATGTGCTTCTTGGTAAATCTCCTTGTGGGGTTGCTAAGGTGCCCATTGGCTGGTCTGTGGTGGAGACCACCATGCAATGAACCCAAACCCACGTTTCTCTTTTCACAATGGAGTGTAGGAGGGGGCGTTAGACTGGTTCTTTTTGTTTTGTTTTGTTTTTCGAGACAGG